ACATTTTTTTTTTTAATTGAGATAAAAGTTATCATCAGTTTAAAGTGTACAATTCAGTGGCTTTTAATATATTCAGTGTTTTATAATCACTACCACTAGTTCCAGAACATTTTCATCACCCCTCAAAAGAAATCCCATGCCCATTAAGTAATCACTTTTCATTCCCCATTTTCTTCAGCCCGACCATTATGAATAACGCTGCTTGAACATTTATTGTGCAAGTTTTTGTTTGAACACTTGCTTTTAGTTATCTTTGTTATATACTAAGGAATGGAATTGCTAGATCATATGGTAATTCTATGTTTTATTTTTTGAGGATTTGCCATTTTATATTCCCACCAGCAATGTATGAGAATTCCAGTTTTTCCACATACTTGCCAACATTTGTTATTCTCCTTTTTTTTTCTTTGCTTTTATAGCCATCCTAGTGTGTGTGAAATGGCATCCCAGATGATTTTTAAAAAGATTTGGCTTAAAAGCTATATGGAAATTCCACCCTTTAGTTCACTCTCCTTTTTGCTTTCTGTTCTCAGTGTTTACAAATTTATAAAAGTATCTGGCATTTGTTAGATATCCACCATGTGCTTGGAGCTGTATTGAGCTCTTCACTTGCATCAGTTATCTCATTTACAGTGTATAGATGCCCTTGATTTCACCAGTAACCCAGATTCTGATGCATAAACAACCCAGAAGGTAACAGTAAAGGTGAGGCCAAAAGTAGGTGTGTCCCTTTAAAGAAGTCTGAAATAAGAAGGCACAAATTTTCGAAGCCATGTACATTTGGGGATAATAATGCTAATTACAGAAGGAAATTCTGTTTGCAAAAGGATTCACCCCAGGGTTCCTTTAAGTAGCAAGCTTCCCTGATTCATGAAACATAAAGTTCAATGCACCAAATCTGAAGAATGGATAACTATTTCAGGAGGTTATCTGTTATGTTAAATGAGGCACACCGAACCACTTATTTGCTCATTAAGCCTTCCTCCCAATTCCTTTTCAGCATAAGCAAGTGAGAGAATGCTCAACAGGACTCCTGAGATAAGAACAGAAAAATATCCACTGGATTTGGTAATTAGAAAGTCACTGCTCATATTTAAAAGAGCAGTTTCTGCATTGGGTAAGGACATAGCAGAGAAACGCAGCATTGAAGGCATTACCGAAGACAGCTTTGTTTTGGGCTGGAGAAAGGTTGGAGGTTGAGAAATCAATGGAAAGAGTGGAAGTAAAGATAAATGATTTTTTCAAAAAGGTTGAATGAGACAGGAAGGAGAGGAGAGGAGATGTAAAATCAAGGGGTAGTTGGATTTTTTTTTTTCAGGTAGAAAGAGAACCAGCCATATTTTTGTAGACTTGGGGAGTAGAGCTGGATGAGGAGGAGATGTTGAAGATACTGAAGAGAAGGTATAATTAATTGATGATGACAAGTGCATGACAGTGAACTAATGGGCCCAGGACACAGATGGAATAGTTAGCTTTGGACAGGAGTATGTTGTTCACAGGGATCTGAGGAATGGAGGTGAGGGTGGTGCCCAGTATATGAGTTCCTGTGGAGGAAGCAAAATAGTTCGGGAATTTCCATGTGATGCCCTTTCACCTGTTTCCTGCTTCAGAGGAATGGCAATCTGCTTCGCATGAAAGGCTGGCAGTTGCGTGTAGGGCTTAAGGAGAATGGTTGCCTAAGGGAATAGGAGAATTGGTCAGAATAAGGAAATTATCTTAAAGGACAATCATACCCTATTAAGACAGCTTCTCTGATGACAGAACATTGGGCTGGGTGGCCTATGCGTCTGAGCCAGTCATACATTTCTAATGTTCTACCCAAGTGTAAGCTCTACTGGACATCTGACTTGGACATGTTATCCCCATGTGGCTCTATAATTTAATTTCTGACTCTACTCCTCTCTCTTCCTTTCTTGCTAAACCTTTCCATTGTGCCCTCTAGAATTCCTTCTCTATTAAAAAGAAATCCCTTGGGCCGGCCGAGTGGCTCAGTTGGTTAAGAGCACGAGCTCTGAGCAACAGGGTTGCTGGTTCGATTCCCACATGGGCCAGTGAGCTGCGCCTGAGCTGAGCTGCTGCTGAGCTGCCAACAGCTGCCAACAGGTGGCAGGATGGCTCAGCTGGTGAGAGCATGTGCTGCTAACAACAAGGTTGCCAGTTCGATTCCCACATGGGATGGTGGGCTACACCTACCCACAACTAAGATTGAACATGGCACCTTGAGTTGAGCTGCTGCGAGCTGCCAGTGGGCGGCTGGATGGTGACTGGACTTGGAGCTGAGCTAGCTGTGCCCTCCACAACTAATATTGAAGGACAACAACTTGGCTTTTCCCCTTCCCCAATTCCCCAACACTATTCCTCTTCCCCAATTCCCCAATAAAATCTTAAAATAAAATAAATAAAAAGAAATCCCTAAATTTTTAGCCTCTTCTCTGAACACTCCCACCATCTCAAGATTGAACTGAACACTGGCTGTCCCTGAAGATGAATAGTCAGTCCCCTGAAGTTGCTGCCACTCCTACAACCCAAAACACACAAACTTACATCGAGTATCTATTCTGTGGCAGGAATTGATCGAAATATGGCCAACCATATAGCTTAATTTAATCCACATAACAACCGTATAAGGTTGGTACTATTGTTATCTATCTTTTTTTACAGATGAAAAAAACTGAGATACCAAGAGATTATAGAACTTGACCAAAGTAAAAAAAAAAAACTTAGCAGAAATGGAAGATTAACCTAGGAGGCATGGCACTAGGGTCTTTACTCAGGAACTAAAAGATACTTACTTTGCAAAGCTCTTTCAAGTTCAAGCTGTCAAATCCCTGCACACCCCAACTACTTCATTTCCAGGGGTGCTGGTGTTGCCAGTTCCTAAATCTTTAATAGGTTTTGTGTTATCAGTCTGTGTAGCTTCTTGGCTTTTCTACTCCAAGTGGCTTAGGACTCAAGTTTTGGGGTTGGCTAAGTTCTTGTATCTTATTTCCGTGTTCTTCTTTTTTGTTTTGTTTTTTTTTTTGTTTTGGGTCTTTAAGGGTTTATAACTTAAAAGGAAACAAAAATCTCTTCATGGCCATATGAGGTTTGAAGAGGTTGTGAACTTAAAAGCTTGTTCCAATTTCTTTGCATCTTCACCAACACTTGTTTTTTCTTCTTCTTTCTTTTAAAAAAAAATTATGGACATTTAGTGGTTATGAAGGGATATTTCATGTGGTTTTGATTTGCATTTTCCTAATAACTAGTGATGTTGAGCATATTGGGCCATTTGTATATCTTTGGAGAAATAGTGAGATCATTTTTTAATGTAAATATCTTTTTAATATTTCATACTAGGACATTTCAAATTGTGCATTAGCAGATACTCTGTTTCCTCGTGGCGATCGTAACAAGGAAGGCCTTTAATCAAACATTTAATCAACCTACTACACAAAAGGGTTAAAGCTCAGAGATCTTTTGGTAGCTGGGTAGATTGAAATTGCCCACAATATTGGCTCACAGTATATATGATAGAGAAATTTGTTTGAATAAGGGGAGTAAAGGAAGTTACATCTTTAAAAACTTTTGAGTATAAACCTAAACAAACAAAAAAGACATGGAAAGGTATTTTTTAGATACTTGGAGTTGCCTAATGTATTTATTTCAACATCTGCCAAGTTCTTTTATCCCTTGAACTAGGAGTAGAATCTTATTATATTTAAATGTATTTTTGTGTGGTGGATGTTGTCTGCTTCTTTCCTTAGACTATCTGATCTTGTTAGACTAACAAGTTAGTTAGACTACCTAACTTTCTCATTATATCATCTGTGTATCAAGCAATGTAAAGATAATTATACTATTGGTGTTACTGGATAAAGATTGACTGACTGTTTTCTGTATTGCATGGACTATGCTCTAGTGTTTTATTTTATTTTTAATTGAAATTTATTGGGGTGATAATGGTTAGTAAAATTACATAGGTTTCGTGGCCAGCCGAGTGGCTCAGTTGGTTGAGAGCTTGCTCACGAGTGCGAACTCTGAGCAACAGGGTCGCTGGTTCGATTCCCTCATGGGCCAGTGAGCTGCGCCTGAGCTGAGCTGCCGCTGAGCTGCCAACAAATGGCAGGATGTCTCAGTTGGTTGAGAGCACGTGCTCCTAACAGCAAGACTGCCTGTTTGATGGTGGGCTACGCCCACCCACAATTAAAACAGAATTCGGCACTTTGAGCTGAGCTGCCACCCAATGGCTCAGTGGATAGAGCATGCGCTCTTAACAGCGAGGCTGCTGGTTTGACTCCTACATGGGATGGTGGCTATGCCCACCCGCAACTAATTGAACACAGCACCTTGAGCTGAGCGGTACAACTGGACTTGGAGCTGAGCTTGCTGCACTCTCCACAACTAAAATTGAAGGACAGCAACTTGGCTGTTCCCCTCTCCCAATTCCCCAACACTGTTCCCTCTCCCAATTCCCCAATAAAATCTTAAAAAAACAAAATTACATAGGTTTCAAGTGTACAATTCTGTAATACATCATCTATATATCACATTGTGTGTTCACCACCCAGAGTCAGTTCTCCTTCTATCACCATATATTTGACCCCCTTAACCCTCTTCTACCACCCCATCCCCCCTTACCCTCTGGTGACCACTGAACTATTGTCTGTGTCTATGAGTTTTTGTTTCTTTATTTGTCTTGTTTATGCTCTAGTGTTTTATTTCTTGCATTATAACATCGACAGGGTAGTTGTGATTTATTCCATCTATATTTTTCAAAAATGTTTATACTGATGACTAGCTACATAAAGATCTGATTGATTAAGAAATACTGTTGTTCTTGGAGGCAAAGGGTCCAAGACAGCAGATTAGTATGAATAACCTGGCAAAAAAAAAAAGGAAGAAGAAAGAAAAGAAATACTGTTCTTGGACAGTTGGGTCATAGGAATGATTTGCTAGCCTGGTGGTTTTCCTTTGCACCGTTTTATCAATTACTCTGAATATTTGTCTTCCTGTCTTCATAGCCGCTTCCTGAGAAGTTTGTGGTGAAAGGTGTTGTAGATCGTTTTTCAGAAGAGTTTGTGGAGACCAGAAGAAAAGCTTTGGATAAATTCCTAAAAAGAATTACGGACCATCCTGTGCTGTCTTTCAATGAACACTTTAATGTTTTTCTTACTGCTAAGGTAAGGACAGAATTTTCCATATTTCTTCCCCCAAATTAGCATTCTTTGGGCTTCTTAGAAGCTGTTTTGGTCTCTCTCCATGCGTGGCACGCTGTAGTGGGCATCATTTACCTGCTCTGTGCTTTTGGTGGACGTTTGCATTAGCGTGGCTTCTATGTGAGAATTCAGGAGAAATACCCCTTGCAGCAGCAGCAGAAGTTACAATATTTTCACTTGCCCAAAGCAGAGAAGCGTTTCCTTAAACACTTTTTGGCATATCGCTGGGTGAGACCATTCTGACCAACAGTGGGCACAGAAGGTTAAGAATTTATCGAGTGTTTGATGAGGATGTTCTTAACAAGAACCCTGTGTTTCCTTGTAACCCCATGTTATAAGATGAAGAAACTGAAGTTCAGTGAGTTTGTACATGTTCCATTGTCACCATGAGGACTTGAAATTGGCTCTTTGTGGTCAGAGGCCACACTTTCCCTCTGTTTCAGACTGCCTGACCAAGAGTGGTTCAGCATTACTCGCCCATAGCCAAGTTTCTATCAGGTGGGCATTCTCCAAGCCTTTGCCAGAGAAATATTTGGGCCCTACTCAGTTGCCAGATTTTGTGTATTCAAACTCAAGTTGATCATTCACTGACTTCTCTCTGAACTTTCCTGCTGGCAGAACTGGCCAGAAAACCTGAGATACTCTACTCTGTCAGCAGAAATGGGATCTCATGCCAGCTTCCTTCCAGCTCCATCCGTTTAGTTTCATGTATCATATTTCCATACTCAGGCCATAGGTAATGTGTTCTATGTTGGCAAGCATACCGAGGCCCAGGTACTTTCCAGTTTTCTTTTTCAAAATGGCAAAATATTTACAGATACCATCAGTTGACCTTAAAGCTCTTAGAGAGGATGCCGTTCTCCAGACAATGGAAACCACATGGCAAAATCCTTTAGTGTTTGAATTTTTTTTAAAACCTCAATTGGCATTTAGCCTCACTGTTGACAATCTGTTCATCTTCTCTTTTTCCCTGGAAGCCTTTTCCCCTTTAGGTCAAGCTTGTGTTCTTTTCTAAAATAAGTATTTCCTGGTGAACGGATCCTCAGATATAGTTCTTTTAGCTTATACACAAAGTAAACTCCATTCTGTTCCCCAAAAGCACACTCACTGATTTACCCAAATTACAGGCTCACTGTCCAGGCAGGCCCACAAGCTTAGTCATTTTTATTAAGCAGAGAGAGACAGAAGGTTGGAGGGGTAGGGGGGACTTAGATCCCTGGTCACAGGAATCTGGGCTCTTCTAGGACTAGGAATTAACATACTATTTATATAAATAGGAAGGGGTGTGTGTGTGTGTGTGTGTGTGTGTGTGTGTGTGTGTGTGTAAGATTTGTGGGCCAAGCAGTATGAAATAATTTTTAAAACCAGTCTTTCAATGTCTTAACATCCAGCTTCATGTGAATGAGTAAGAGGAGTTGGCTTGTTTAAACTGAACAAATTCTAGCCCTAGTTGAGTTTTACTTGCTGAACTATATACAGTAAATAACCCTATCTTTTCTGTTTTTCTTTTTAATGTTGGCAAAATACAGAGGGTGCCAAGTGTATACACACACACACACACACACACATTTTAAGAAAGGAAAAAACTGTATTAAAATTGTAATACTCAATATATACCAATAACATAAGATGAATATAAGTCACGTTTGACTTCTGCAATTACAAGAGGTGCTCAAAGTGGTTACCATCAGCATACAGACACATCTGATGACGGCGAACTACTGCTTGAGCAACATTGACCAAAGTGTCCACTTGTATCGCTGCGCATGCCATTTTAATTTCTTCCTGAAGTACCGCCAGTGTAGCTGGTTTTCTACAGGACACCATATCCTTTAAGGTCTCCTGTAGGTAGAAGTCAAGGGGTGTTAAGTCAGGAAAACGTGGGGGAAACTCAACCGCACCTCTTCGTCCCATCCATTGTCCTGGCAAATTATCATCAAGGTAAGCTCTCACACCGTGGTGGAAGTGTGGTTGGTCACCATTTTGTTGGAAGTAAAATCTGTCATTCCCAAAAACATCTTCTGAGCAAACGTCATACTACATATTGCTACCATAATTCAATTCAACTTCGAAAAGTAATACATAGATAACATCTCTTAAAACGTGTATACATTTTTTTGGCACCCCCAGTACACATAACAAAATTTACCATCTTAACCATTTTAAAATAGACAGCTCATAAGTTATAAGTATATTCACATTGTTGTGCAACTAATCTCCAAAACTTTCATCTTGCAAACCTGAAACACTATACCCATTCAAGAACCACTCCCCATCTCCCCATCTTTTCCTCCCCCCAGTCACATCATGAATAACTTGGCCTTGTTATTTAATTACCCACTTACATGTTCTGCTACAGCAAATGCAGAAGCATTCCTTTTTCTTGTGATGACATGATCTTATCACAAACTAGAAATTTCTTGAAGAAGCCAGTCATGTTGGGAGAGGTGGGGGACACTCAGTATCAACGATGATGAAATCAATGCTTTCACTTTGGCAGAATGGGTGCAGCCATCAGATAGGTACTGCTAAATAGCTATAAAAAAATAAATATTCAACATGTTAATTAACTTGCAGAGGACACACATTTGTGTCTGTGGTTAGGCCCTCTCACTCAGCTCCTTATTTTCTGAGACCTCCATTTCCAAAAAGCAACTGCCTAAGGGAGTTGGCTTACTGAGTCCTGGCTGTGCAAGCGATTGAGCCCTTTGAGTTGTTCATGTGTCATCCTTAGGACCTGAACGCCTACAAGAAGCAAGGAATGGCATTGCTGACCAGAGTGGGCGAGTCGGTCAAGCACGTCACCGGAGGCTACAAGCTTAGGAGTCGGCCTCTTGAGTTCGCAGCCATAGGAGAATACTTAGACACATTTGCACTCAAACTGGGAACCATAGATCGGATAGCCCAGCGGATCATCAAAGAAGAAATAGGTGAGCTCTTTGTTGAGATCTTGACATGCCCAGAGACAACACTTGCAGAAATCGCATTCGTGTGTGCTAAGCAGAGTCCACTGCAGAAATGCTGGAGTGACAGAACTAGAACTTCACTTATAAAACTAATAAATAAATACACGGAGAGGAGCTGGTAGTTGTAACTAGAGTATAATTTGACGTGCCATCCTTTGCCCTGCATTTCAGCCTTGTATTTGCTTTCTCCAGGGCAAACAACCACGTCTGAGCCTCTAGACTTGCCCACTTTTTTCTCTCTTAACTTTAGCTTTAAAAATGGAGACCTTGACTCAACTTCCCTTCATTCATAGGAATGATAATTTAAAAAACAAACTTAGGTATCCTTTTCAGCAGAAAGATGGTTCAAAAGGGCAGCCTGGTGACCTGTGTTTGCCAAAGTTATGATCCTAACGAGCCTTCAGACTTGAAATTGACTCACCTGCTCCACCCCTGCTGCATTTAAAACCCGCTCTTCCTGACCTGGGAAGTTATGAGGCCTTTCTTTATTCCTTCTGGTTGTGGACACCACTTCCTTCTTACCCCTCCTGTGGTCACTTGCTTTTCCATATCACAGAATGTTGGTGCCTTTTGATTTACACACGTAAGCCAGACAGACCTGAGCCATGTTAATGATCATGCTGACACGTGATGTGAAACACGTTAAAAAGGATTCGCCAGTAGTTGCCATCCACTGGTTACTAAAAAAATAGTAACAACATTTTAGTGTCATGGCAAGAATCCTGGTGACAAATGATGGGCCAGGTTTTCTTTGTTGGGAGAAATAACATTTTTTCTTGTTCCCTGTCCTTTAATTCTCATTTAACCCACCGATGGTGTCATGTGAATACTGCAGATTTTAGAGATAGCTTTAGGTACCATCCACATAGAAGGACCAGGTAGAGTGAATTCTGTTGGGACCAAGGTGTTGGGGTGACCCCTGAGTGAGAGAGTGAGTCTGCCTATGTAAGACCACCTCCTGTATCAAATGTTTTCTAGAATTCTATTATGTTTCCATTGCGAGTGGGGTTTTTTCCCCCCTTTTAAAAACATTTCCCCTAACCCTATATGAAACTCTGCCCCCACTGTCTTAAAATACTGCTTCACTGTGTGGGCAAGAGAGTGGTTATTTTTTAAGATATTTGGTGAATATAGCTCCTACGACTTTTCCCCAGAAGGCATTGTGGTCTCCATCATTCAGAGGCATGGCATTCCCATTATGGTGTGGAGTTGATTGATGTTATGATGTAAGCGTAACATCAGCTTTTTGAGATTAAAAAAAAATCATGTTTTAAGCAGTGTCATTTTTAAAGGAGAGAGTTCTCAGGTAAGTGACAGGTAGAGAGCTCTTGGCTGCAGTGGTTATTGAGTCAGTAATACCAGCGATTGCTGCCCCGCCAGATCTTATTCGTTTCTCTTCTCCCTTTAGAATACCTTGTAGAGCTGAGAGAATATGGGCCTGTGTACTCCACATGGAGCGCCTTAGAGGGGGAGCTGGCTGAGCCCCTGGAGGGTGTGTCAGCTTGCATCGGCAACTGCTCCACAGCCTTGGAAGAACTGACAGATGACATGACAGAAGACTTTCTACCTGTTCTCAGGGAATATATTTTATACTCTGACTCCATGAAGGTAAGCTGGCTCATTTCTTGTGCACTTAGGTACTTTGTTGTAGTCATTATCAAAAAAGTAATTGATTATTGTCTATTTGCATGCGGTACAAGTTGTCTTCTCCCTGGGTGGGCAGGATCAGACATCTGACTGACATCATGGACATATAAATAGAACACATGGTGAACCAAGTATGTGAACATAAAAAAAAATAGTTTAGAAGAAATTTTTATTAGTGTGCATGAAGAGTTCAAGGGGGTATAAAATCTACTAAACAAGAACAGGATGCTGTGGAAAAAGAACAATTGGATAATAAGAGCTCTTAAAATATAATTGCTGAAATAAAATTGAAGAGTAAAGTTGGAAGATGAAGGTGAAATCTTGGAAAGTAAGACAAACAAAAAAGTAGTTCAAAAGTAGAATAAACGTGCAAAAATACTGAAACTGTGAAAGAATGATAAGAGACAGAGAGGATTCAGCATCTGACTCATAAGAGTTCCTGATTGCGAGAACAGTGAAAACTGAGGGAAGGAAATTGTGAAAGAAAATCTCCCAAAGCTGAAGGACATGAGTCTTCAGATTAAAAGGATATTTTAATTGCCCATCAAAAGGAATGAACAAAGAACCAACCCAAAGCATATGATTAATGTTTTAGAACAAAAGTGATAAGGATCAAATACAGGATCAAGTGCTTTAATGCCCACACCAGAAATTGCCCCAACCTGTGCTGGCTGGAGAGCATAGCTAAAGGGACCCTACGATGGTGACGCCAATTAGAGAAAAGGGTCAGTCTTCCTGAAAAAGATATGTGGCTCAGCATTGATCATCCCTGTCTTCAAGTGAACATCCCCTTTCTATTTTTCAAAGGAGACCTTTGCTGGTAGGACTAACGAACCGTAGAGAAACCTGTCAATCAACTTGCGTTGTAAAAATAGAAAACCAGGAAAATCATAGTGCTGTGAAAATATTCTACATCTTGATAAGGGGAGTAAAAAAAAATGACTCAACTAGTTATACAAACTTTATTATGGAAAATTGCAGACATATACAAAAGCAGACAGAATCGTATGACGAACTCTCATAGATCCATCACTCTTGCTCCATCTTGTTTCATCAGGCATGAAGTCTTTTTTTTTTTTTTAAAGATTTTTATTGGGGAGTTGGGAGGATGGGAACAGCGCTGGGGAATTGGGGGAAGGGGAACAGACACGTTCCTATCCTTTTGTTCTTCAGTCTAGTTGTGGAGGACGTTGCTTCACTGGACCAAGTTGGCACCGTCATTGCGCTCTTCCCGGGCGAGGCAGATCAGTCGCTGGCTTCTGGACGGCCGCTCACTGCGGCTGCTGGCCGCTCATGCTGGCTGCTGGCTACACATGGTAGCCCATGGCAACCCCTGTAGCAGGGGCTGCAGCCTATGCCGTCACCGGCGCCCGCGACTCATGGCAGCCCAGCTCCAGGTTGAGCTGTTGTTCAGCATCTTAGCTGTGGAGGGCAGTGTCACTGGCCCTCATATGTGGGATCCGAACCGGGGCCCTCTGGCGTCCCAAGCCAGCTCTTAACCAATGCGCTACTCGGCCAACCGGCCCAGGCATGAAGTTTTAAGGCTCTTGATACATATTAGAGTGTGGACAATGGAAAATGGAACCCGTTCCTGGTAGAATGAGTCACTGTCTCATGTATACAGCTTTGTAAGCTGCTAATAAACACTTTCAAAGACAGGATCGGGTCTGGATCTCACAATGATCAGGGAAAATGGTATAAATTTCCTTCATTTGTAAGATGGAAATAATGGTAGTGTTGGTAATAATAGGGATAAGACTCACACATGAGATTATTAACCTGAAGCAGCTTTGTTAGTAATTGTTGGAACTGAGGCTGAAAACCATGGCTTCTGACTCCAAATTTGTAACTCATTCTCCTCTATTACACTGTATTTTTTTTTTAATTGAGATCTGCACATTGCATATTTAACCCTGTGGCTGAAGCAAGTATAGGAAGGCATCTGGGTGGGGGTTGGGCAAAATGGGTGAGGGAGGTCAAAGGTACAAACTTCTAATTATAAAATAAATAAGTCGTGGGATTCAGTGTATAGCACAATGACTATAGTTAATATTATATTGTGTATTTGAAAGTTGCTAAGAGAATAAATAGATCTTAAAAGTTGTCATCACAAGAAAAAAAATTGTAACTACGGTATGTGTGGTGATGGATGTTAACTAGCCTTATTGTGGTGATCATTTCACGGTATATACAAATATCAAATCATCATTTTGTATACCTGAAAGTAATGTCATATGATTTATATCTTACTAAAAAGGCAACCTGTCTTCCTTAAAATGAACCAGAATATTTTGCTTTACTTATCAAGTTAATAATACCTATTTTTGTGATCAAAAATAAATTTTTACAATCTCTGGGGTGTCCCTGAATTTATCTCATATATAGACACACTCTTCATCAAAAATGCTCCACGGTCCTGGGACCTTGCAGTACATATTACTTTGTTCTGCATGTGGCAAGTATGTTAGTACTTAATATATATTTGTGCCTGAAGCAGGATTTTAAATTGTCATTTAGCAAGGATTTATCTGGCATCTTTTAAAAAGAATATTACACAGTGAGACTAGCTTGTGTGTAACTGAAGTTACACATCAAAGAAATATTTGTTTTCTTGCTTTCTTCGCTCCATGTGTGAGACATATGTATTAAGTTTCTTGTTTCCTGAGCCTGAAAAGATGTGGAGAATGAGATTGTATTTAGTGTCGTCTGGGGAAGGGCATGGTGGAGGAAATGTTGACTGGCACTCTGTGAAACCCTAGCTCTGCCCTGGGTGAGCTGAGTTAAGCCCAGTTAGAAAGAAATGAGGTTTTATGCTCCCCATCTTTCCTTTCCAACAATACAGTACCTCTGTAGAGTGGTCTGGGCAAGACAGAAGTGACCTGATGGCAAAGCCAAGGCTGCATGTAGGATTGTCAGGGTCCGTGTGGCCTGGACTAAAGACATTGGGAGAATGATCAGTGTCTTAAGTGGCTCCCCTGCCTTTTCGCATTGCTGCTCTTTAAGAATTTTTAACTATATTTTATTCCTCTGAGAGAGAGTCATATAATTCCACTTCCAAAATGGTTTTCTGATTTTTAAGGTATAAATAGGACAGGCTTTGCTCTTCAGCACGGAAACTAAACCTGGAGTAGAGGGCTTGCTGCAGGCCTGTTGTGAATGAAACCCGTTCTTATCAACTACCGACTGGTCTTCGGAACTGAGAAAGCCCTGGTTTTGTTTGAGTAGGGAGGTATCGGTGTGCTGACATTTTATCTGTGCTTTTTCTGTGATGGCCTTGAGTGAACCAAAGTGAGTATTTGTCCTCATTCAGAGTTGGGCCTGTGCCTTAGGAATTTGAAGTACTTGGGTGTCGGGCGCATGGAGGAAATGCTGGAAATCAAAGAAATCCTCTCCTACCGGGGATAAGGTTGGAGTTCCTCCCTGGGGTTAAAAAGCTCATCTTGTTTATCTTGCTCATTTTATAGACGAAGAAACAGAGCCCCATGGGTAAACCTTTTCTCTATCCGGTCCGTCACCTTGAATCTGTGTCTTTACAGTGGCCAAGAAGGAAACCGGATCAGCTCCTGCTTTTCATGGCTGAGTCTCAATTGTGTGTCTTTAAGCGCAACTGTGGTCGGGTACATTCTGTTCCCTTTCAGGTAGAGAGAAAGCACAGAAAAACGAGGGCTGTTACCAAGCCACATGGAACAGGTGGATGATGTTCCGTGAACAGTGAGGACAGTTATAACTAGAAAGATGGCTGAAGATTTGTATTCCAGGGGTGCTGTGGGGCGAGAGAGAGAACAGTGCCTGAGAAGGACGGGTACCAAAGTTACCCTCAGGCCCAGACTGACGTTACACATGCTCTAGACATCTGCAGGGAGTCCTTATATGGGATTTCACATCCTGTACAGGGTGTGTATGTAAAACGTGATTAGGATAGTGATGGGCTGGGAGAGAACATCTTAGACTTTTTTCCCCAAATTTCTGGCAATATCTTTTAAGTACTAGTGTCATTATGACCAGGCCAAGCCATGGAGAAGCTCTAATTAACAAGGTTAGGGAACAACCAACCATCTTATTTTCCACTCTGTCTTATTCAGCAGGTATTTGATTGAATTTGGAATATTTACAGATACAGATCTATAACATGCCGTGTATCTTGTGATTTTTAAGAGATAGGTTTATGTAGAAGTCAAAGGGCATGCTTATTTCAGAGGCGTTAGTGAATGACTAGGGTAAGAGTGGGTGGTGAGGAAAAGCCACACAGAGGAAGTGGCTTGATTTGGAGACTTGAACCATGTGTATGAGGTCACTGTGCGAGGATCAGAGGATTGAGCGTTTTAGGCAGAAGGAACAGCCAGCGCAAAGGATCTAAGGCAGAAATGAGCTCGGTGTCTTTGCGGGTCAGAAAGGCCAGTGTGAGTGGACCCTAATGAGCAAGGGAGGATGTGGGAGGAGGTGAGGTCACAGGGATGTGGGTGAGGGTGGGGGGGGGGCGCGGGACATAGAGTAGTATCTTAAAGGCCATGGTTGGTAAGAGTCTGGATTTAATATTAGCAGGAATAAAAGGGAAGGTACTTGGTTTTATGCAGGAGAATGACAGGATACACTTTTTACTTGAAGAAGACAACTAGCACTGCAGTGTGGATAATGGGTTGTAGAGAGTGAGAGTGGAGGTAGGGAGATGATTTAGGAGACTGTCAAGTGGCAGATGACTAAGGTGGTGGAACTTGGACTGTGGCGATGGAGAAGTGGGTGGGTTGGGGTTATGTTTGGGATGAGGGCCATCTGGACTTGCTGCTGTATCAGTGTGAAGTCAGAAAGGGAGGAATTGAGGAGGACTTTTTGGTTTTGGCTTCAGCAACTGCATGGACAGTGGTACTGCTTATTGGGATGGGGGAGGTCTGGGAGGCATAGATTGGGCAGCTGGGAATCAAGTGGTTTTGGCCACGTTGAGTTAAAAAATGCCTATTACTCAT